ATCGTCGTCATAATCATCGTCGCCGTCGTCATAATCATCGTCGCCGTCATCATCGTCATCGTCGTCGTCATCATCGTCATCGTCACCGTCGCCACCATCCCGTTACAACGTAACACTCTGCCAGCGTCCAGCCAGCTGTGAAGTTTAACGGGTTTCCACGGTGGCAAGTCGCGCCACATGTTATCATCGAGTCTGTTAGGCGGCGGTCGGTGCATGGGGTAAGGGTAGGGGTTCGGTTGTGTGCGTGTGGGAGACACGGGCGGGGGGGGGGGTAGACAGGGAGTTAGGGTTCGGTGAAAGGATGCCCATGGGGGTGTCGGTGCAGACGGTGGGGAGGGGGTCGCTGGCAGGGGGCGATGAGGGTGGCAGTCTAGATGGTGGGGAGGGGGTCGCTGGCAGGGGGAGATGGGGTGTCGGTCTAGATGGTGGAGAGGGGGTCGCTGGCAGGGGGAGATGAGGATGGCTAGATGGTGGGGAGGGGGTCGCTGGCAGGGGGAGATAAGGGTGGCAGTCTAGATGGTCGGGAGGGGGCCGCTAGCATCGGTCGATGGGGTGGTGGTTCAGATGGTGGGAAGGGGGTCGGTGGCAGGGGGCGATGAGGGTGGCAGTCTAGAGGTGAGGAAGGGGTCGGTGGCAGGGGGCGATAGGGTGCCTGTTCGGTGTCGGTGCAGAGGAAGGGAGGAGTCGTTGGAGTGTTATTTGAGGATCGCTGAGTCTGGGGTTAAAACGCTTACCGTCACGAGCCGAACGGCGAGATATCGGAAAATTAAACTCATTATTAGGATCGGAGGCAAGTACGATGATACAGATGCGGCAGGGCGGGGAAGATAGGATCCGAATGTCTGGAAGATAGATGCAGGGGGATCTATACGATAGAGAAGGGGGGTGTATTCATTAGAGACATGTTGTAATAATAAGATATAGAGACGGGCTAATATGGATGCGGCAGCACGGGGGGAAGATAGGATCTTAATGTCTGGATGATAGATGGAGGAGTCTATGCGATAGAGAAAGGTGGCATATTTAATAGAGACGAACGTGTCGTAAGGGAGAGGAAAGGGGCCGGCACACACGTGGGGGGAGGGGGTATTTTGTTTTACGTTAGGATAGTAAGGCAGAAACGTGTGCGTGTGCGCGTGCGTTCGTGTGCGTGTATGTGCATGTGTGTGTGTGCGTGTGCGTGCGCGCGTGTGTGTGTGTGTGCTCGCGCGTGTGTGTCTGTGTGCGCGTGCGTACGTGTGAGTTTATGTGCCTGTATGTGCGTGTCTGTGGGTGTGTGTGTGCGCGTGCGTATGCGTGTGTGTGTGTGTATGTGCGCGCGCGCGTGTGTGTGTTTGTGTGTGTTTGTGTGTGTGTGTGTGTGTGTGTGTGTGTGTATGTGCGCGCGCGCGTGTGTGTGTTTGTGTGTGTTTGTGTGTGTGTGTGTGTGTGTGTGTGTGTGTATGGGAGGGGGTATATACGTGTGTCGTGTTTACGGGTGTTGAAGATCCAGTGCGATGATTCACACTTATATGGCCGCCATTTTATCTTTATATCGCAATCATTCCGATTTTCACGTTTTATTCGACACCATTAAGCTGGGAAGGAGAAGAAGAAGGGGAGGAGGTATGGTGCGAGTTATCTGCACTAGAGTCATAACCTTGCGTCCATTCGTGAACCAACGTCTTAGCCTCTGGTTTATCTGCTCGATGAGTCACGCTATAGCGAATGTTGAAGCTAAAAACTTAAAGGCAAGAGAAGATTGGAACCTAAATCGTTCTTTCAGACTCAAATCAAAAGAAAATAAGAAGAATGACCGTTATAAACTTGTTGGAAAGATGATATTAAAGGGGAAATCAAACAGAGAGCGAGCGAGAAAGAGTGAGAGTGCGAATAAAAGAAAATTGGGAAGGGGTGTATAGGGGGGAACATCGTGTGAGCGTGCGTGTTCGTGTGCGTGCATGCGTGTACGTGCATGTGTGCGCGTGCATGCCCGCGCGTGTTCGTGTCCCCATGCGCGCATTTGCGTGTATTTACGCGCGTGTATGGGCCGTGCACGTACATTCGTGCGCGCTATCCTCTTCCGAAGAGAAGGAAGGGAAGAAAAAATACGCGCGTATAACGATATATATATATATATAATTATAGAGAGAGAGGGAGAGGTACGAAAAAGAGATAGAGGGAGTAGGGCCGGGAGAGGGGGAGAGTGGGAGACAAAGAGAGAGGGTGAGAGTCTGAGATAGAGGGGGAGACGAGATAGAGACAGAGAGAGAGAGTGAACGACAGAGAGCGAGAGAGAGAGATAGAGAGATAGAGAACGAGCGAACGAGAGAGAACGAAAGAAAACGCGCGCGAGAGACAGAGAGAGAGAGAGAGAGAGAGAGAGAGAGAGAGAGAGAGAGAGAAAGAAAGAGAGAGCGAACGAGAGAAAACGCGCGCGAGAGAGACATAATACGAGTGCGGGGAGACAGGAAAAGCATGCGCATCACCGAGAATAGCTCAGGCGGAAGATCATCAAGATGCATGAGGTATTTCTTTCCATCCCATCGCAGCAGCTAGCGTCCTGGGAGAGTCAAATAGATTGAGCTCGCATTAATCTCGACTCCACCGCGGGATGCTGCGTGGGAGGTAATCTCGATATTGTCCAGACGCTGTCGCGACGACGTCGCGCGACGGGAAGTTATAATTCGTCCATAATTTCGTCGGCTCGGGTTAAAGGAACGTCGATGCGGCACGTGTTCGTGATGTCATCAGCGCGTGACGTGACTTAATTCGTTAGGATCACGCGAGGAGCCGGCGTTGTGTAGAAAAATTCAATTTCTTCGGAAGTATGCGTGTATACGTAACGATTGATGATACTATATGTACGTATATCGCTTGTGTGTGCGAAATAAAACACAAGCGCATGTGAGCGAAAAAAAACCACAAGCGCTAGGTAACGCAAGCGGTTGGTTCCCGTTCTAATACTGGGAGCGGTAGAGACAGACGAAGAGCGGGCGGCCAGATCTTATCTGCTCGTGGATTAGTCTGCCCCGACAGCAGCTGCTGCTGCCGCCGCTGTCTCTCCCCCCGCGGCCCCGCCACCCACCCACCGGCGACGTCTATAATCCCCTTACTCCTCACTGCGGTCGGCTTCGGGGTCTGAGTGTCGGCAGGCGACCACCGAGGTTGCCGCTGCGTCATCATGGCCGCCGCTGCCGCCGCGAATCGCGAAGGCGTCTGCTTTATTTATCGCCGGGCGGGAAAAAACGCGGCGGTGCGAAAAAACGCCGCGGTGCAAAAAAACGCGGCGGTGGGAAAAAATGCAGAAACGCGACGGGAGGGAGAAAGGAGGTCGTCTCGGCTGCTGAGGGGAGGAAGGGAAGCCAGATTCGTTTTACGTACCTCTGATTCAAATGCGACTGTCCTTACGAAATCTTCACCTATGTCAAAATCGTGATTTCGGTTGGTTCGCGTGTAACTGCATGGTGAGGAAAGCAAGCACGCACGCACGCATCCACGCACGCACGCACGCATCCACGCACGCACGCACGCACACACACACACACACACACACACACACACACACACACACACACAAACACACACCAACACCGTGACGTAAACACAGGCGCCGAAAACGTAACAGAATGCGTGGACAGCTGATGGAGGCGATAGCAGCGTAGCACGCGTGCGTATGTTAACAATACCGCGGCCCGGCGAATAAATACAAAAACAGGTGCTAATCTATATGCAAATAGTCATTTAAATTGCCATTTACACGCTGAGGGTAAATTGTTATGGTAATGCGGTGCGCGGGAGCGTGGGGTGCTCGCATCGTGGCTGCTGCTAATCACTGAGCTTCATGTTATGATATAATATATATGGCGAATGTGATTTGTCTGCTTCCGTGCCATGCCGGCCGAACATATGCGCGATGATACGTAGATGAATAAATAAATAAACAAATGAATCAATAAATGTATATATATAGTAAAACCGAACTTTGAACCACGTGATCAATTACCGAAGGAGTTATTTTATCAAACGATCCACGTTTACAATAGTATTTAAAGATTAAGTTATTAATTATAAAGAATTAAAACAATTTTCTTAACAGATGATACATGCTTTATTTATTATGTATAATCTTTCATTATTTTTTTATGAAATTGTAGTTAAAAAATTATCTGATTCTAAATAATGATACTAAAATGAGAATGGATATATTCGTAATATATTGAAAACGCGTTATTTAATTAATGTGTCAATGTAAAACAATTTTACTTCGATAACTTATTTATCAACTTAACATATTTACCATAACCTCAATATTTACCAAATATTTATTTAATCATTGAGTGAGAAGACTAAAGCTATTCGTGTTAAACATCGTATTAAAGCATTATGTGATCAAACGCTCTCGTTTACTTTACGAGTTGTTTCAATCGTACTGCACATCATTCACGTTCATTTGCCCTGAAAAATATGAATATACATCAAGAGTAGATAATAAAACCGGTAAAAAAATAGGTTTTATTATCTACTCTTGATG